TAGAGGTTACTCAGCTTCATGTGAGATTTCAGGCTTCTAGCGGCCTTAGGGGTAGGGGCCTCCAGGGTTTTCAGGGGCCTCCAGGGGCCCTCGGCGAATTATTTAAACTTTTGAGACCTAAAATTCGAAATTTTGCCCCCAAAACTTGACATAAAAGAGGGTACCTAAACAAACCCAAGATCCTGAATAAGCTCGAAAACTTGACATTAAAGAGGGTGCCCCCATGCATAAGAGGGTCCAACATTACGGTATTTATAATTGGGTTAGAATTACAGTTGCTAAGTAGGTTATCAGTGCAACGGACCTCCAAGTAGGTACCCCAGCGGCCCCTACAGCGATATGGAGACATAACGGGCTTAGGGTGTAGGATTTAGGGCTTAGTTTGTAGGATTTGGGGTTTAGGAATTTAGGGTTTAGCGTTTAGGGTCCCAGTAGTGCCTTTTTGCCTCTTGTTTTTATTTTGGTGTCTGCTCATTGAAGCGAAAATTAGCAAAAAGGGGCACCTTGAGCACAAAGGGTTGACTGGGAATCTAGTTCAAAAAAGGTAGGGGTACCACACTAAAATCTGCAAGAGCTTTCATGTGGATGCATTGGTTACTCTAGGAAGGAGTTAGAGGTTTGCTGGGTTTATGGTTTAGGATTTCGGTGTTAGGGGTTTCTTGAGTTGTTGTCGGGGAATTTATATTAATCTACCGTGCTATGTATTCATCACATGAGATGCGATTTCCCAATCGTGGTAATTTGACTGAAGTTCGCAGTTCACTTTAGAGACTAGGAGGGGAAGCAAGGTGCCAGGTAAAGAAGCCCAACCCCTAAACCCCTATTCTGGATCAATGTTAGGGATCCCTTTTACTTTTTGGGGTATGGGATTCCTTATATTTAGGAAAAAAGGATCCTTTTTTTCTTGCTAGGGTGATGTGGACCAAGTATTGAAAACCCCTGCACCATCAGGCTGCACGGTGTCAGAACTGGAGCTGTACCCTAAACCCTAAACCCTAACTGTGGTTTAGGGTTTACGCATCGAGGTGCTGCTGGCGCATCTTCTATGATGCGGTATCACCATGGGCTATTAGACACTAAAACTCCCTATTAGGACCCTATTAAGGGTAGATTCAAGTACCCTAAAGGTCTAATAGCCCATAGTGGTATCTGCAGTTGAAGCTGGCGCAAAGCAAGTCCGGTTTCCCATCCTGTTGCTGCTTTCTGCTAGGCGGCTCAGCACTATTCGGGCACGGCAGGAAGAATGTCGCCACCGACATCCCTGGGATACGGCATGGCGGTTACGTCCGGCAAGCCCAAGCCTATCTGTGTGTTCATACCCCTGAGAGTGATGAGGTTTTGGCCCGCATCGTGCAGTGCATGCAGGACAGTTATCCGAGCGATGGCGCTGTGGCCTCTACCATGAGGAAGTTTCACCAATGGCATATGAGCTACTGTCATTATTAAGCTTATTACGCGACCCTTAACAGTGGACATTGGGGTCCTTCCTATAGTTAAGCCTAGTCCCGAATATACGCCCCAGTACGAGGCTCATATCCATCAGTTTTCTGGAGAAATATTGACTTTAGCTAAAACCTGAGAAGCCCAATATGGTCCCGATAGAACATGATCCTCATGAAGGGGACCCCCAAAACGGGACCCCCAATATTAGAAAACCCCCATATCCTGCTGTACCATTCAACATACGGCTGTTGTTTTTGGGGTATCCGGATACAAAGGGTTGGCATTTCGGGGGCCACCAAGAAGGAATAAAACACCACACCCTAAACCCTAGGAACTCTACACCCTAAGCCCGAAAAAACCCTAAAACGTAAACCTTCAAAGCTCTACACCCTAAACCCAAAAACCCTAAACCTTAAACCCTGAACCCTAAAAACAGCCCAATAAGGTACCCAAATTCATCACCCAGGTGCAACTTCATCGGATCCTATGATGGCGAAACTGGAAGAGCTTTGCCGCTTGGCGTTTTCGTTTTAGGGTTTAGGGGTTTAGGCTCCTGTGTGGTGTCGGGTGGTGGGCTACCTCCCAGAGTATGTAGAAAATTCGTTTTTTTGTTGACGGCGTTGTTGGGGTGGGTTTTTGCCGATTATTGTACCTAGTTCTTTCAGGGGCTCCAGGTATTCCTTACACCATAACTTACACCTGAGGGTCCAAGTACCCAAACATTAGGGCTTAAGGTACCAAAGATCTGTCAGTCTATGGTATTTGGTCCTTAAACCCCTTTGTTCGGGTACGTGGACCCTTCGGGTACATAAGGCAGCTAAAGTTTTAGGGTTTAGGGAGCGGGAAAGTGTAGATGTCTGAAATGAGAGCCGCTCAATTTCACATCGACATAGTCCCCTCCCGCAAAAAGCCCTCCACTGCCTAATAAATTATGTTCTTACATGTGCATGCAACATTTCTGCATGCCTACATACATACTTTCCCTTAATACACAATGGTATGATACTGTAGGTATATGCAGGCACGCATGCATGCATACATACATACATACATACATACATACGTACATACATGTGCGCTACTAGGGCGCGGGGGAGGGAGATGTTGCGAGAGAGGGAATTACTTGCGGATCAGGCTCCGTGAACCCAACACCCCCTTCAACCCTAGGCCCTAGACCTCTCAAACCCTAACCCTAAGCCCTAAACCCTAAGCCCTAAACCCTAGGCCCTAAACCCTAAGCCCTAAATCCTAAGCCCTAAACCCTAAGCCCTTAACCCCAAACCCGAAGTGAAGCCCAAGCCCTAACCCCTAAATCCCTAAACCCTAACCCCCTAAGACTAGCCTACGTGATCTCCAATCCCTAGCGTGCCTCCACCTTGACCTCCAGGGCCCGAGGAACTCAATTTACGAGGTTGTAAGTCCCAACAGGGTTTATAGTGGGGTTTTGGGGTTTAGGGTGTAGGGCGTTGCGATGTACAGGGTTTTAAT